GTATGACGTTTAACTCTTTCGTAAATGTTCTCAGCAATAATATACAAACATATTTTAAAAGCTTCAATTTTTCAATAATTTTATTAGTAAGTGTATTATAAACGTTTAAGAATATTTATTATAAATTTATGTGAAAAATTTTCTTTTTTTTTGAATATTTAATTTATATTTTCAATTCTAAATCATTTTTAATTTTTATTGTTATACACTTGCATATCATGTTACCTTCATTTTTTATATCTAATATTATTATATAAAGAAGTAGTTTGATAACTGTTATATTTTTAGTGTATATTAGAAAATGGATCCCATGATCTGGCTATAATTTGTTTTATTGTGCATTCAACTATGCAACTGTGAATTGTATATTGCCTTTTAATTTGATTATTAGACAAGTTTTAATTTTTATTAAATTTTCACTTTTTCTGTATATTTCTACACTGTGTACATGGTCTAATGTAGAAGTATTTCAAGAAACTGTAATATAAAATAAACGAAATTGCCGTTGAATTCTTTTATAAGTTTAAGTTAGATGAACAATTGTTAGGAATTTCTTACAGTTTGAAGATCTATAATGTTGATAAATGTTTAAGTTAGTGCATCTTATAAAAATATCGTGACCCAGTACCATACAATTTTTGTTCTCGTTTTTTTCTTTTATGTTTTACCATCAATACAATGCAATTTTAGCCAAACTAATAATGTAGATTGTAAGTGAATAAAAATATTAAAAGAATTTATTCTTTATGTCGGCGGTTTGGTTTATTATAACTTAATAAGAGAAGAAGATGATTTTTAGATTTTATTACAACAATTTTGTTAAATAATGGCATTGAAAGTTTTTTTTTATTTGATTCATTTTTGTAGTATTTTTATTTGTAACTCGATTCAAATGTAAAAAATGCACTGTTTAACTTTATTATATAAAATTTTTTTTATGTAATAATTTTATGTCCCAATATACTTCAAAATGGTTTTGAAATAAAATATAAAAGGCGCAATATTTGAGATTTACTTTAACATTTTTGTACGTACCAAAGAAATTTTATGTTTATTTAAGAGTTTGAAGCATTTTAATTTCTCTTTCAAACATTTATTCCCTATTAATTAAAAATGTTTGTACCTGAGAATTTATTATCTCTTTGGCACCTACTAATGCATATTAATTAATTGTTTTATCTAAATGGAAGATTAACTCTTGAAACTTAACTTAAAATTCACTTTATAAGTGATTATGTTGTTTTACAGCATTTCTGCAACTTAAAAATTATTAATTTCGACCTTGAGCAAAAATGTCTACGTATCGCCCAAAATTCGGTCTTAAAAGTTTTGATTTTTTTAATCAATTTTCAGTCAATGTTGTGATAAGATACTCGTAATGTACAGATTATAAGCATTTTTAACTAGGGGTCTGAAGAATATAAAATCACTCGATCACTTGATCTCCATTTTCTTATATTGAACACTTGAATTAATTAATTAAATTATAAAATAATATAATTAATTCATTCGAAAACATTATTCTAGATAATTTTTTTTTCTTCTTTAAATTTTAAACTTGAATTCGAATTAAATTTTTTTTTTCTTAATATTTTACGTAATCATAGTAGGTTAGTACACCTTACCCTACAACCATACTTATACTTTATACTCTTGAAAGTAATTATTGTAATGAGCTTTTTTGTATTTTACATAAAATCTGTGCAAATACAATTTGAATATTTTAATTTTTTTTTTATTTAAATCAAATAATTCATGTTTTAAATTTATTATATTAAATTAATTGCCGTTAAGTTATTCAAGTAAATCAAGCCATACTTGAATAGCTAATTTCCAATTCATTTAGGGAAAGAAAACGCTGAATACACTCTTGAAAGAAACAAAACAAAAAAAAAATGAAGAATTTTCTTTTACATTGTAAGCAGTTTGTGACCTTGTAATAAGATGTTTCATTAAGATAAAAGATTACTTTTGAAAGTTTTACAATTAAAAAAAAAAATTTTTAAAATTTATTTGAAAAGATTTGTTGTTTTCCATTCTTTTTTTCTTTTAAAAGTTTTTACTGGATTTTAAATTTTATATTAGAAAAAAGAAGGTTTGCTTTTGGAACAGATTTTTTTCTAATTTACACTCACGATTTTAATTAGTAATGAGTTTTTAAAATTTATAGTTTAAAGTTCAATTCAAATTTTCCCATTTTTGTTAAAATATTGTGTACATTTGGACTTGTAGAGAAGAATTGAATATATTTAAATGTATAGAAGCTATCGCCAGTTCTATTGGCATGAGCCAAATTGTCAGTTTAATCACTGCCGCTTAATTGTTGTTATAAAATTCAGATTCAAAAGTATTTTTTGCGTGGCAATCTCGGGACAAAATTTTCTACAAAATCTATGAATAAATTTTTAAGAATCGGTTGTTACGTGCCGCATTAATTCAGGTGTAGCAATTAATCCTTACTTCCCACACTGAAGTTATTCAATTTTCATTATTTTATTTTTTTTTCATTATATTAGTACGTTCCAGTTTTTCACAAACTAATTTAGTAAATTTTTCTTCTATGAAATTTCCATAATTTTTTTTGAAAATTTTGATATCTTTTGTATAACAAAATGATGTTTGAATTTAAATTTTGTTTTTGTGTTAAAAAAGAGAAAAGTATTATTTTCAGATTTAAGGTAGACAATTAAGGTGCTTACTATATGATAGTTGCGATATTGCACATAAGAAATATGTTTAATAAAGGCACCTTTCTTATAAAATATTTTTTGTTATACTATTACATTAAATGTATTACATAAATTTATATTAAATGTTATACAAGACAAATCATCAGGAATTTAATTTAAATAAACGAATAACATTCATATTTTAAATCTAAGCCTACATATAAAATCATAAAACAATCTATCATATTAGAAACTGCAACGACTAATCATGCCAAAATCATCTAGGTAACTGACATTATTTTCGATATTTTAAATAATTACACGCTGCAAAGACTAAAAACCATTAAGCATATGGATAAAGAAAACTTCACTCTCATTTCTATGTAGCATCTTACTTAATAATAACATAAAAAACCAGACTTGTTTTTAATAATAATTGTGCTTCAGGCAATTGAAAATCATAACAAATATTCTATTTTTTCTTCTTACACTTTATTGTATACAAATATTGTAGATCTATTTATATAATGTCATGAGTTGCATCTATAGGTATATACACTTTGGATGCAATGTGTTTGACATGAATTTAATCTTAGACCTCTTGTAAGAATTTATGATAATTTGTTTTTTTTTTTTCTCGTTTTTCTATATTGACCTTCATATCTATTTTAATAGCTATTAATTATATAGAAAATTGTGGTCAAAAGAATTAAATTCTTATAAATTAGATTAAGAAAACTTGTTCTTTCAATAATCGTTACATATATTGTTGTTTAAATAAAGAATGTTGTTTAAATCTTTTATACTAAATGTTATACTTATAACAGAAATTTTTTTTTTATAATATACAATTTTAATCTACTTATATACCATTTAAATATTTTCAAAACATGAAATATATATTTGAATTTTTTTTAAATATAAATGATTTAATGCAAGTTTATAATTATAAGTTTTTAATAAATGACGGAAAGAGAAAATAATAATAGTATGTGGTATTTAACATAAAGGAAATTATGTACATATATAAAAAGCATAATTATTTTCAAGTTTTTATGCTATGACTTCCAAGTATAACAGATCTGTTCTGTTCTCTTACATTATTAAAATTGTTTTTTCAAGATACTCTCGATTTACAATAATTTTCAGGCATGAAAAATTATAAACGTATAAAAATATGAACGGAAACTCATAAAATTAGGTTCCTTATTTGTTATTTCTTTTATTTTATTTTTTTTTTTTGAAAATTTTCTAAAATAACTCTATAAAAACCTAGATATTAAAACTAGTTTTAATATTTATTGAATCATGAAATCGTTTAGAATATAATATGAAAAATCAAGAATAAAAAAAAGTAAATTTAGATATGGGAAAGTTGAACAGGAAAAATATTTACACGAAAGTAAAAATATAGAACAGTTTAATGTAGGTCACAAGAACGAAATAAAGAAAAGAACAATAATTTAGGTTAAAAATTAAAGAATCGATATTAAGAAAAAATCGATTATAAGTTTGGAATGTGTCAAAAATGGTGAATGATTGTTCTTAATTAAGTGAAAAATTTAAATAAAAGCCAAAAAATTATAAATTTAAAATGAAAAGAGCTACAAAAATGTTCTATACGAGTACATATTCAAATAGAATCAAAATTTATTAAAATTTAAAATTGGAAAAAAAATTCTTAATTTATTCAATAATTAATTATTATTTATGAAAATGCAGTATATTAATATAAGAGTTTCATCCGCAATAACTTAATTTGGAAATTTGATAATAAAAAATTAATTAAATGAACATGTACAACAAACACATATACCCATAATATAGATATGAATCCTATGAATCATAACAATTGTAATTCAAAAAAAAAAAACAAGATGGGTGAAATAATTATACAAATTTTTTTTCTTTTAATTTATTTAAGACAACAATTCAATTATAAAAATTAAATGATTGCATGCTGTTTATTTGTCTTAGCAAATATTGTAGAATAAATTTTAGAACATAAAATATCGTAGGTATATCGTATATTTGTATGTATAATTATTATAGAGAAGAAAAAATTTAATTATTATCTAATATGGTATTGAATTAAATAAAAAAAAATGATTTTAGTTGCAAATGTATGTACTTGTGAATGTATAGAAGCACTCAACAATTTTGTAGGTGTTAAAAATTTTATTGAAATGCAAAATTTAAAATTAAAATTTGTTTAAATTACAATATTATTTTATTCATTCATTTTCTTTATACACATCGTTAAAATGTTGAGAACTTTGTCTTCTTCATTTATTCATTTTTATTCATATTTCTTTTATTATTTTTTTTTAGATCTACCGTGAATATAAAGAAGCGCAACAATAAAAACAAAAAAACAGAATAAAGGAAAACATTATTGTTAACACCAACACTATCACTTGCTTGCATGAGAGTAACGTCATCTATGTACAAAATATAATAAACAATATAAAATGAAACATAGGCAATCACGTAAATCACGTCATAATAATACTAGACATCGTGGTCCAAAACATTTAATTCATGACATTTCTGAATCATATTATGATGGCATTGATAGTGATATTTATGGTGACATCTATGGTTCAAAATTATCTGCTGAAGAAAGATGTTATATTGATCCATGGGATTTAGAAAATTATGATTATGTTCGGAAGTATGTATCGTAAATTTGAGTATAAATTTAAAATATTTTTCCTAAATTGTACAAAATAAAATTTATTTAAAAAAAAAAAAAAAAAATTTTATGTATATAGAAAATTAAGTGCATCATCAATTGATGAAAGATCAACATCAGGTGGTGTTGATTGTCTAACAATAACGACAACATCACCAGCTGGTGAACCATCTACAGTATCATCACAATTTTTCTATTTACCAAATAATAATTCAACACCTGATTGTATGGCATGTTTGGCCGGTATGGATGAACATTCATTTTACAATAATACAACAAAATATGAAACAATTTACGATGATGATATGATTTACTCAGGTGAATAAAAAAACTTTTGTTCTAATTGTAAATTCTTCTTGGTATTATTGAAAAATGAATCTGTTTAATGAACTAGCTATGTATAATTATTATTATAAAAGAATTGAATTTACTAATTTTATATTATTATTTTAGATTTTGATAATATTTATACAACTGAAATTCCAAATCAATCTGAATTTTCATCATTGTCTTCAATAAACTCATCATCAGCAGCTGAAATTAATGAAGAAGAAAATTCATCAGTAATGTTATCAACATCATTGAAATTGCATACACCAGGTTTTGGTGTTGCTGCATCTGGTCGAAGAAAATTAACATTACCAAAACCGGTGCCTCATTTAGAATTTCCGGCACCACCACCGTATGATTATTGTATTCCATATGGTGATGTTTTAATACCAAATTATGCTTTTGATTGTTATGAATGCATGTCAAATATACCAATTTATGGAAGAATAACAACAACACCACCAACACTATCCCCTCAACCAACAGAATTATTATATAGTGGTAGTACAGGTAGCAGTGGTGATACAGGTTGTGCAAATTACAGTTCATTTGATTCAACAATGTCACAACCATCATCTCTATACAGTACATATTCGAATCGTTTTGAAATTAGTAAAAAGGGCCTTCTACAAATAGATTATTCATGCAATTGGAATGACTTAGATAGGCTGATTGGAAAGGATATATAAAATTATTGGATTGTTTATTATATGTGCAAATACACATACATACACACATGCATTTCATTTATACAAAATATTATGTGAAAAACGAAAATGTAAATATACGTACATTATGCATGTGTGTATGTATGAAAAATTACTGCCTATAAATATTTTTTGTTCTAAATAATAATAATAAAAAAAAATTAAATAAAACTACAGATAATATCGATTAGATGAAAATTGGAATTTTTTTACTCAAAATAAATTTTAATAATCAAAAAAAAAAAGAAAAATTAAAAAATTTATTTAATTAATTTATTTATAAATGGCCTTGTCTTTAAATCAATTTTATACTCCATACTATGTTTATTATTATAAACCTGTTAATCTCTATGAAGAACGCATCTTCGCATTCAACTTATTGAAATTACTATATGGTTTAAATATGGATTGAAAATTTCTAAGTGAGCGAGTCGTTTCTGAACAATTTTTTAAAATAATGTAATTCAATTTTCAAACAGCTTAGAATTTAATTTGAAATTTATTTACAGAAGTTTTGAAACAAATAAACCCTTGATTCAATATAACTTTTACCATAATGACTTAGTCTGCAAGAGGCATTTAAAATTCAAAAGATAAATTTAAATTTCCAAAAAAAAGGGAAGTTACAGCAAAATGCATAAGACATCATGTATGTAAACATGTATTAATTGCAAACATTTGCATTATACTTCAAGATCTAAGTTATAATAACAAGGTTTAGAGATTATGAAACCTTTACAGTGTTTCTTATTTTATAAAAAAAAAGTAAGAATTTAATATTATTACGAATATAAGAATTGTGTTGTTTAGTACAAATTTTGTAATATGTATTTTGTTGCAGTTTCTTGTTAGTTTTTATTATTATGCTTGTGTTTTTAAAAATTTTAATGTATGTATGCTAATATATATTTCTTGTGAATCAAATTAATTTGAAATATTATATGATGAGCAAATAAAATATTTGACTAATAAAACATCATTCATGCTACATAAAACAATTTACTTTATAAAAATGTAGTTAATAAAACTCATGATTCTTTCGACTAAATACATAATATTTTTAACTCATAGCACATTTTGTCTTTCACAATTAAATATTTTGTATCTATAACTTTTACAACGCATCATGTCAAGTGCATTACTAACAAAATGTGAGTGAATAATATTTCTTAATATAAATTTGCACAACTTTTTGAGAAACAGAGTAATAATGTTTTTGAAATTTATTTGCCTTAACAAGTACATAAGTAGAAAACTTATTCTTTTTAAAACTTCAAGGAGAAAACTTGAATATTGATTTTTTTTTAATTTTCTCTATTATGAAATTTCGTACCTCTTTATAGTATCAAAAATATATGTAGAAAACAAAATTTTGATTAAAACAGCTTAATATCATATATTGGTAGAATGTGGGAATTCCCAATGATCACAAAAAACACTTAGAATCGCCTTATCTCTTCTAAATATCTCCAAAAATATTTTTGTTACAGCCTATTATCATTTGTTTGCAAACTCTGTGAACTCCCACTAATCACAAAAGACACTAAGAACCACTATAGCTCTTCTAGTTTAGCCAGAAAACGCGTTTAAAGTTTTTCAAAAGGTTTTTTTTAAATACCTCCTAAAATATTTTTGCTGCAGCCCATTATCATTTGTTTGCAGACTCAGTGAACTCCCAGTAATCACAAAAGACACTAAGAACCACTATAGCTCTTCTAGTTTAGCCAGAAAACGCGTTTAAAGTTTTTCAAAAGGTTTTTTTTAAATATCTCCAACAATATTTTTGCTAAAGCCTATATATTGGCAGAATCTGTAAATAAATAAAAATAATTAAAAATAAATAAAAATAAATAAAATTAATTAAAAAAAAAAATAAATAAAAAGAAATAAAAAAAATTAAAAATAAATAAAAATAAATAAAAACAAATAAAAATTAATAAATTTAATAAAAAATAAATAAAAATAAATTAAAATAAATAGAAATTAATAAAAATAATAAAAAATATATAAAAATAAATTAAAATAAATAAAAATAAATAAAAATACATAAAAATAATTAAAAATAATTAAAAAAAAATAAAAATAAATTAAAATAAATACAAAAATTAAAAATAAATAAAAATAAAAAAAAATAAATAAAAATAAATAAAAATAAATAAATATAAATTAAAATAAATAAACATAAATAACAATAAATAAAAATAAATAAAAATAAATAAAAATAAATGAAAATATACAAAGATAAATAAAAATAAATAAAAATAAATAAAATTTATATATTTAAATAATTACAAATAATTAAAAATAAATAAAAATAAATAAATTTAAATAAAAATAAAAAAAATAAATAAAAATAACTAAAAATATTTAAAAATAAATAAAAATAAATAAAAATAAATAAAAGTAAACAAAGATAAATAAAAATAACTAAAAGTAAATAAATAAAGATAAAGCGATTCTAAGTAATTTTTGTGATCACTGGGAACTTACAAATTCCGCCATTATATGACAATAAGCTGCTGCAAAAATAATTTTGGAGATATTTAAAAAAATCTTTTTAAAAATTTTAAACGCTTTTTCTGGCTAAACTAGAAGAGATAGACCGACTTTAAGTGTTCAAAAAAGGTAAGAATTTTAGACTATTTCACAACGCGGTGGTATTTGCGCTTCATACTAGACAGTCCCGCTTATATATTTTGTATATTCCTTATTAATTTTGAAATTTCGCCGCGAAAAATTGCTTTTGTTCTGTTTTCAACTTAAATCTTACCAACGTGTTGTAATATCGTATTTCGCAAAAATTATGTATACCAAAAAAAAGAGTAAAATGGAACATGATAATTGTAACAGACAAATACTCGTAAGTTATAAGTTACAGCACACATTCAACGGAATGTAGGAAGGAACTCTGTTCATCTAAAAATTTATAAATATGAGTTGATTTCATTTGTGGAGAAAAGGGATAGTAATGTGGTATTGTATATCTATCTATCGCGTTGTTTTACTTACTTTAGTTACATAATATGTATAAGAATGTTTAAAAAATTATGTTCACCTAATGTGCAAATGAATTAAATGCTATTGACTGTACATTTGTAAGCATAAACGTACGTATTACATATATTTTTTTTTTCTATTCTAACATAATATAAATGTAAGTGCATGTAATTAGCGCAGATCCATTTTGGCTGTTAAGGTTCATAAATAAAAACAACAATAAAAACAAGTAACAGAATTATTTCACTCTGTTCTGTTCTTTAGGTGTTCATTTCATTATTCAACCACTAATTAATCTGTTTGTTAATTTAGTTTGCAGAAAACTACTATACATAACTATTCATTACAACAATCACTAACAAGATTAAGAATAATTATACCACATACACATGTAATCGTTTACGCTGCATATTAAACTAAAGCTTATTCAACTTATGAGAATATTCAACTTAGGAGAAAATGTTCCAAAAATGTTTGTGTTACAGCTTGTTATCATATATAGGCAGAATCTGTGAATTTCCAGTGATCACGAAAAACACTTAGAATAGCTCTATCTCTTCTACTTCAGCCAGAAAACGCGTTTAAAATTTTTGATCGGAGTTTTTCAAATATCTACAAAATTTTTTTTTGTTACAGCTTTATATAATATAGTGAGATCTAATAGGCGGAATCTGTGAGATCATAGTGATCACGAAAAACATGTCTCTTTTACTTTAGCCATAAAACGCCTTCAATGTTTTTAAATGTTTTTTTTTTTTTCAAATATCTTCAAAAAATATTTTTCCTACAGTTTAATATCATATATTGGTGGAACCTGTGAGTTTCTAGTGATGACGAAAAACACTGAGAATCATTCTATCTCTTCTAGTTTAGTCAGAAAACGCGTTTAAAGTTTTTAAGTGGATTATTTCGAATACCTCCAAAAATATTTTTTCTACAGCTTTTTAAAATTTCGTGCATAAATAATTCGTGCTTTTTAAAATTTAGTTTATATCATTTCCGTTGTTACTTTGTATGGCTGTTACGACTTTGACAATGCTCGGAGCAAAACAAAAGAGAAGTAGAAAAAATTTGACTTCATTGTTTTTTCAAGATTCTCTTTTCTTTAGTATTTCTAATTCGTTGATTTGTACGCAATGCTTGAAGTTTAACTTTTCCATGCTGATGTTTTTTTCTGAAAATTGTGAAAAATTTTCAAATTTTTTCTTCCTATTTGAAAATGACGAATGGTAATATTTAATATTTATTTAAATGTTTCTTTTTAATAACTAAATAAATACATGACGATTCTTTCACTCTGAAATTAAAATTAAAAACAATATTTTTTTCCAACTCTAATTTTGATCTTAATTTTTGTTCTTAAGTTTCTTCGACGTTTCGAGCACACTATTGAGACTAAAATAATAATATGTACGTATTAATTTTTACATAAAATATGGAAAAATAATAAAAATATTTAATTAATTACAGTAACTCCAAAAGCAAAATTATGTTTCTTTTAAATGATTTGTTTTTGGAATAACTGTAATTAATTAAATTTTTTTTTATTGTTTTCACTTTTTGTTGCTTTCACCGGTCAGATTTCAACTTTATAAATTGAATAGAATTGAATTAGCATTTCATTGGAAATAGATTGTTGAATATTTTTTACTCGCAAATATATTCTCTTTCATTATGCAACGATTCATACATATCGTGAATCGTTATTCGTGAAACGCATGAAATGACATATCTGGAACATAATGAAGTTGAAACGCTTCAAAGATATGTCAAATATTGATAAATGATAGGTAACTCTATACTTTTAATCATTCATTAATGTTTCGAATCGTAGTAGAGTAGAGGTACAACTAAATTTTCCAGTTTAACTAAATTTAGTGGTTTTTAAATTAATCACATTTAATGATTAATTTATTATAAATTTTGTTATCGACCTAGTTGTGTGATATATCAAGGTTTTACGGTTAGTGTTACAAGTTTATCATAATACTAGAAAACGATTAATCTTTGCAAGAGCTAACAAATTACTAAAATATGTATTAATTAATCTTATCTTTCAAAATTACTAATCTGTTCTAAACAAAAATTGATAAAAAATTTGTGTGTTAGATTCAAGCTTTTTTATCATTCTTTTTTGCTTCCATGGATATCAAAATTTCCTCTTTGAAAAACCCAAAATAAAATGTGTGGCAAAAGTAATACACAGATATATTTTAATTAGGTCTTAGAGTACAAAAAATGCTTAGCTGCTTTAGTACGTTAAGTGCTCCCAGCTTGGGGGAAATGGAACAAACTATCAATTTACTTGAGCGTGGAACCATAATAACAAAATTGTATCCAAAGCATCGTCCAGAACAGAAAAAACTGATTTTAGTAAGAGAAACGCGACAGGTGAGAAATATAAAAAATAGAAAGTGCTGGTTGTATTAATTGAAATAATTCCAATCATTTTGGTATTATGAAATAAAAGCTGCTATGGTCGTCGGCAAGTGCAAATACAAGAACTGATTTTGAAGGAGCATTAGAATTAAGGGATGTTAAAGAAGTCCGTGTTGGAAAAAATTCGAAAGAATTCCGTTGCTTTGTTGATGATACAAAAAAGTTTGATGTAGGTAAATGTTTTGTTGTTCTGTACGGTCAGTCTTTCAAATTGAAAACATTTTCAGTAGTAGGTGAGTAAAAAACAAACCATATAAAATAGTTTTTAGCATTGTATGGAATATATTATTTTTTTTTATATTATTTTCAGCTTTTTCTGAGCAAGAATGTGAAAATTGGGTGAAAGGAATCAAGTACATGGTATCAGATACAATAAAAGCACCATATTCATTACAGCTAGAACGCTGGCTTCGCAAAGAATATTATTCCATAGAGAATGCAAATTTACACTCTAATTCCAAAGAGGGGTAGGTACTTCACAAAAAACACATTAGTGTAGAAATTTTTAAATTCAAATTGCTGTTTTGTATATTTAGTGGAACTGTTACTGTAAAAGATTTCAAATCATTCTTGGCCGGAGTAAGCTGCAAAATTCCTACAAGTAAGCTTATGGAATATTTTCCAGAAGATGATATTAGGAAGAAAAGTGATTTGAGATTTGACGACTTTTCTAGATTATACAGAAATCTGCTAATGCCATACAATGTAATAAAAAAATTTGAAATACCCATTTTAAACAATAATAACTTTTTTGTATTGTAGTTCATAAAAGATTGTTTTGGCGCAGGCTTTATATATTCTAAAGATGGTGAAAATGTCACTTTAAAAGAATTCCAGTCATTTTTATTGAATGAACAAAATGATTTATTGGGAAAGGATGAAAACGCTATCTCCAATTATATATGCAACTTTATTCAAGATATAGAAAGAGAAACACATGAACCCTACCTAACCATAGCTGAAGTATGTGAATTTGAATGATTTTCAGTAAATTTTTTTTTATTTGCAAACTTAATTTTAGTTTGTTGATTATTTGTTTTCAAAACAAAATGAAATATGGGACAGTCGTTGCGATAAAGTTTACATGGATATGAAACAACCGATGTCACATTATTGGATTGCATCTTCTCATAACACTTATTTAACAGGAGATCAGTTTTCAAGTGAATCATCTATAGAAGCATACGCCCGAGCTCTACGTATGGGATGTCGTTGCATTGAATTAGACTGTTGGAACGGTCCAGATAATCTACCTCACATATTTCATGGACACACAATGACATCAAAAATTAAATTTATTGATGTGATAAAAACTATTAAAGAACATGCTTTTGTCACTTCGGATTTTCCTGTAATTTTGTCAATTGAACAAAACTGCTCTTTAGAACAGCAACGAAATATGGCCCAAGCATTAATTGATGTTTTTGGTGATATGCTTTTAGTTCAACGCGTCGACCGGAATGAAACTTATTTACCATCGCCTTACCAATTGCGAAAAAAAATCATTCTCAAACATAAAAAACTACCGGAATTTGAAGAAGGAGCACAGGCAAGATCTTCAGATGAAAACGAAAACGTCAGAAATGTTTTAAAAGAAGGGAAATTATTTTTTAAAGATCCTTGTGATAAAACATGGAATCCATATAAATTTGTGTTAACCCAACAAGAATTGATATACAGTTCAGAAATTGAAGAAAATCGAGACGACGATTTCGATCAATCATTTCCAAGGACGAAAGAAAATTTAATAAATGATGAGCTTCACTTCGGTGAAAACTGGTTTCATGGAAGATTAGAAGGGGGCCGGAAGGAAGCAGATGACTTGTTAGAATCTTATAAACATCTAGGCGACGGAACATTTTTAGTAAGAGAATCGGCTACTTTTGTTGGAGACTACAGCTTGTCCTTTTGGCGAAGAGGTCGAGCAAACCATTGCAGGTGGTTTGCATAAATTATATTTATTTTATATATTTTAAAATTTTTCATTACTTTAATATAATTTTTATAGAATAAAATTGAAACATGAAAACGGAACAACCAAGTATTATTTATTGGATAATTTCATGTTCGACAGTCTTTACAGTTTGATTATGTATTATCGACAAAACGTGTTAAGAAGCTCTGTAGGTTTTACTGAAAGTATTTGTCACAAAAATAAAACTATGTATATGCTACATTTTAGGAATTTTCAATAATGTTACGGGAGCCAGTACCACAGCCAAAAAAGCATGAAAGTCAAGAATGGTTTCACTCGAATACTACTAAAGAACAAGCAGAAGCGGTTTTAATACGATTAGAAATTGGTTCATTTCTTGTACGACCAAGTGAACAAAATGCCAATGCTTTCGTCATATCATTTACTGTCAATTGTAAAATAAAACATTGTAGAATAAAAGTAGATGGACGCCTATATGTTGTTGGACAAACGCCATTTGAGAGTTTAGTTAGTTTAGTAAACTACTACATGAGAAATCCACTTTATAGAAATGTTAAATTGACTCATCCAGTTTCAAAAGATGCTTTACGCAATAAATTAGCAATAAATAATGTTGTTGTGAGTTTTTCTTTCAGTTAAAAGTACATTTTCAAAGATACTTATTTTATTTTTTCTTAGAATGAAGAAAATGGTAACAATGGATGTTCCAGCTACATGGATCCCTCTTGCACTGAAGAACGTGTAACTTGCAAGGCTCTCTATTCTTATAAAGCAAATAAACCAGATGAGTTATCATTTGCAAAACATGCTATAATAACTAATGTTCTTCGTGATAATTCAATGTGGTGGATGGGAGACTATGGCGGAATGATTCAACGCTTTTTTCCTGCGAATTATGTTAAAGTTATTGAATCTGTCAGTGATGATGCGAGTAGTAACATCAGTGATGACGCAAGCGAATTTTGTACAAAAACCGACTCAATCGAAATCCACGGAGCTGTAGCATCTTTATATGATTCACATGACGCAGGGATTCTTTTAAAAATGCTTATACAAACACCTATGATGCAAAATATTTTCGAGATAGGATTCGATAATCGTGATCTAGCATTTGAATGGGTGCAAGCAATTCAAGCTGCTGCACAAATTGCTAGTCAGTTGGAAAATGAACGTCGTAAAAAAGAAAGAAATGCGCGTGTGGCCAAAGAAATGTCTGATCTCATAATATATTTTCGTAGTGTTCCGTTTCGTGAAACTAATTGGGTATTTTATGAAATGTCAAGTTTCCCTGAGACCAAAGCTGAAAAACAATTTCTTCAACAAAATACTTTATTATTTTTATCATATCATCGTCAACAAATCAGTCGAGTTTATCCTAAAGGGCAACGTTTGGACTCATCAAATTTTAATCCAATTAATTTCTGGAATGTAGGTTCACAAATGATTGCATTGAATTATCAAACGGCTGATAAACCAATGCAGTTAAATCAAGCGAAATTTCGTGATAATGGATCCTGTGGATATATTTTAAAACCAAATTTTATGTTTAATAGTATTTTTGATCCAAATGATCCATCAACTTTAATTGGTGTACCAGAGAAAATTATTACAATTCGTATTATAGCAGCGAGACATTTATGTAGATCCGGTAAAAATATACCAAATAATCCCTTGGTAGCTATTGAAGTTTTGGGCGCAAGTTTTGATACTGGAATAAAGCACAAAACTAGAGTTTTGGGTAAATGTTATATTTTAAAATAAAATTTTATACATAATTTATTATTTATTATCTTTAAATTAAAGACAATGGTTTTAATCCTTTTTGGAATGAAACTTGTGAGTTTACTGTCCGAAATCCGTACTTTGCTTTACTCAGATTTGAAGTACAAGATGAAGACATGTTTGCTGAAAGGCATTTTGTTGCACAAGGCACATTTCCAGTTAGTTTGTTTTTAAATAAATGAAAATTTTTAATACTTAAATAATTTTTTTTAGGTTCAATGTTTGCTTACCGGTTATCGAAGTATACCGCTAAGAAATAAATTTAATGAAGAGCTTGAACTAAGTTCATTGCTAGTTCACATATCAATTAAAACAAACGGTGTTGATGAAAATTGTACTGCGATTTCTCAAAATGCAGAACGAATGTTAACCGATTTAAGAATTACTTAAATATTTTTATCAACCAATAGGCAAATTGTGAGGACATATTATGTATATAAATGTTATGCGAGTAAATTCAGTTTTTTGTAATAAGAAAAGTTTTTAAAGTAACAAAACTATAAATTTATATTTTTATTTTATTCTAAAATTATTTGCAAGAAAAGAGCTTTCTTATTCTTATAGGAGCTGAATTAACTTCAATACCTACATTGCTAAATTTGTATTTAATATATTTTGCATACTATTATTTAATATATATTAAAATATTAATTTCAGAATTTTACTATAAAATACAAATTTTTCTAAGAAGTTATAAATATTGACTGATGATGAATGTAGCCCATCATTATTATACAATATACATATTTAAAACATAATTTTTTAAACATTAGAACATTTTATATTGATAATAATCATTGTATTAATAAAATTGTAATTTTGTAAAATTTATTTCTATTTCAAAATAAACTATGTATGTATATTCTATTTTACGTAAAATATAATTTGTTTCGAAATGTTTCGACAACATAATTCAATTAAAAATATTTTGACTAAATTAATAACATTTATAAATAACATATCAAAAACTGATTACTTAATATTTTATAATGGTTGTATAAATTTAAATTAAGCCTTAATAATCGCTGTTTTAAGTTCAATGATATATGTCGCGATAAAATATATTAAAATTTTTTTAAAAATAACCATCATTTGTGCCATACATAATTATGTGTAAATAATTTTAGAAACATTTTTTTTTTTATAGAAAGATTTTAGAATTGAATTAATAACGTTTCAAAAGTATTTTTAACAAAAATAATGTATTCAAATTTAGTTAAATATTAATCAAGCTTCATTTACTTAAACTTTATATATATACAATTAACACTCACCTTACTTTTCTCCGATATCATTGTTTCGACTTGAATTTCTTTGCTCTGAAAACTTATTTGATTTGCAATCCTTAGTTTCCTCATCGTAATTATCATGAAAGAAAAGCAATTCCATTTTTTTAATTATGCATAAAATAATTTTTACGATTATTTTTAAAAAAAAATTAAATTGAAACCATTTTTTTTTTTCTAAATTTAATTTTGACGTATGTATATTTGATTATATTTTTTTTTTCTAAGGTCTATAACAAATATTATATATAAAGATAAAACTTCAGCTTTAAATTGTAAGATAAAAAACCAAATATATCTACATATATACAAAAAAATAAACAAGTGTCTTAATCAGTGTCTTCTGTATAATAATATAAAAGTAAAGAGATTAAAGTTTTAATATACATATATTTTAATGTATTATATTGATCTTTTGTAAATTAAATTTAAAAAAAAAAATATTAATTGTATTTTATCATTAACTAATTTAACATTCCTATAGTAAAGCATTTTAGATGCATGTACTTTATGTATTAATGTACATAAGAGTTATCAATAGAGACAATAATACTTGATAATGAAGATACTAGAAATTTTATGAAAAAATAAATTTACAATAAAATAAATAATTACAAAAGTATTATGTAATTCAAATAGTTCTCAATTCAAATGATTTTATAGAGAAGATTTTGTACAACAAAACAAAAAAAAACAAATCATTTTTCTTAATCACGGATATTCAGTTATTTTTGTGATTTGGAAGTAAATGTTGTAAACTAACAATGAATTAAATTTTTTTATCGTATTTATTACCTAAAAAACAGTACGTATTTCAAATCGCAAGGCATAGAAATTTTGCTTTCATATTATACAATTATAGAATATGCACATACATATATTTAATTATAGAATTCGACTTTTAAAATAGATTATATAAATGAAAATAACTTTACGTACATCAGCAATAAAATAAGTTTTTAGTATTATAAAATGTAAAAAACAAAGTGTTTTTAAATATATAACTTTACTAAATTAAAAAGAAAACTGCGTCTCTTCAAAAATGCTTTATAAAACATTTAAGCACGGGTATGTAAAAATACGGTTCATTGTAAAAAAAATGACACAAAAAAATTTTGCGACATTATTTTGTAAAATTTTTAACATTTATACCTATATATGTATATGATTTGAGAAACAAATTTATTTTAATATTTACTAATAATGAATAATTTTTATGAAAATAAAAAAATTATCGCGTTACTGCTGAAGATTCTTATACAAATATAAAAGTATACATATTATATAATAATGCATACACATTTTTTATAAAAGGTATGCTTAGTTCTTCCTTTATCCGATTTATTTTTATTTTACGTTCATACATATTTGCTTTCTGTATAGTAACTCTTTCTGAAACACCAAATTTCTATCAAACTTTTACGTTTTAAGCGCATTTTTGAAGTTAGGCACTTTACTTCATACTATGTTTAAAAGATACAAAAATTTCTTTAAACTTAATTCGAATCTCTTGAATGACACATCAATTGAATTGAAAGAATTACATATAAAATTAAAGTTTAATAAACATTTATACTATAGATTTATTTGATTTATTATTAAAAAAAAAAACATACATACATATTCTTAAATCATTAAGAATAAATAATTTTGAAATTTTATTGATTTTTTTTATGTTTAGAATGTAAGAGATAGCGTTTTTATTCTATATAATTAAAGAGAAGTGTCTTAAATTATAGAAGCATGTGCAATTATTTATTCAGGGTTTTCGTATACAATACAATGTTATAAATATTAAAACTTTTATACAAAAATATTTTTATCTCTCTTTAAATTTAAGTAATTTTATATTGGTATTCCAAAAATTTTTTTTTACTTTTTTTAATTCAAAATTTATTTTAGTTAAATTTAATTAAATACAATAATTATTGTTAATTGAAAAACGTATTAAAATAAATTTAATGTAACAATATTTAATGTATTTATTTACAAATTTGTATATGTACTATATGACAAAATACTTACCTTTAAAACGTATCATTCATAGCATAAAAAGTTTGAAAACTTTTAATATGTCGATTTTCATTGACCTTTGCAATTTTTTAATGCCATCATTCATGAAAATCTTTTAATATGTGTGATATTGCAAAAAAAAAAATGTTCACTGCAAAGCTTCCAGTTTTATATTGTATATAAAAAGTTTTCTATTATGTACCATGTTTCAAAGTATGGAAGTAGTTTTTGATACGCAATGCAAGCGATTCTTTTTTAGGCTTTGGGATACGTTTTAAGCCCTGTCTTTATAAGTTTGTAATTTTTTCATTATTTTACAATTAGAGATATGGACTTAAATAACAGATGGATAGCAATTTTATTATTTAAATTACAAAAGATAAAAAAGAGTTCTTTTAAAAAGTGTTCGGGCTTTAATTTATAAAAAAAATATTGTGCCTTCCCAAACAAGAAACCTTACACAGTATGTGCACACATATGTACATATAGGTATGAAGAATTTATTAATAATTTTGTTAGTTGCGTAGTTTTTAAGAAAGAATAAAAAATTAGAAAAATTTTAGCCAAACAGCTGTTTTATTAATAAAATGAACGAAATTAAATACAATAACGAAATTAACTACAAAATAGAACAAATTTAAATCTTGTCTGTTTTTTCGTCATAAGATATTGAACGGAAAATGTAAGACAATTATATAATTATTATTTTTTTTTATTGTAACACAGCTGCGTTTGCAACGACACTAGGATTATTTACAACTTCACCAAGACTTTCCAATACTTCCTTACGATAATCATCAAAATCTCCATCAATCTGTAATCATAAAATAAATCAATATCATGAAATAAGTCAATATCATGAATAATAAAAAATATCATGAAATAAGTTTTTATTTGTGGTATATATTTTGGAGTTTTATGATGAAAACTTACTTCATTTATTGTTTGATCTTCTATAACATATAACGTGCAACCGGTTTCTCTAATTAGACGTTCATCATGTGAAACAATTATAACGCCGCCTTCATATTCATTTATTGCCTCAGCTAAAGCATCAATTGATTCAATATCTAAATTATTTGTAGGTTCATCCTAAAAAAATAATTAAATTTTAAAAAATTTTAAGTAAATATTTTTAGGAATAAGTATATTTTCAAACCAATTAATTATATAATTATATGACACATTCGGAATAATAAAACATACAGAACTATATCGTATATTTTATATGTACATATATAAAATATACGAAGTATTTTCATGAAAACCGCACTTAATATAGATTTTTTCACAATAACTTACAAGAATCAAAACATCTGGACCACTTAAACAAAGTTCAGCTAGAGCAACTCGAGCTTTTTGTCCACCAGATAAATCTTTCATTTTGATTGTGTGAGCATGGCTAACTAGTCCAAAAGATCCCAAAGCTTTTCGAGCCTTTTCATGCGGTAAATCAAATAAACGTTGTAAATATTCGGCTGCTGACTCTTCAGCTGTTAAATGTTCACCTGAATGCTGATCAAATCTTCCTATACGCTAAAATTTAATAAAGTTTATAATTTTCGAATTCATAAAAATTAAATTATTTATTTAAGAGAATGTACCAAACGATGATTTTTCCTCAATTCACCCTTTATGGGACTGAGCTCTCCTACTAACATTTTTAAAAATGTAGATTTTCCCACACCACTACAATTAAAAAGATTTTTGAATAAATAAAATTTGAAATATTTTCATGAAATGTATTGGTTAGAATTTTTTACATACTTTGGACCAACAATAGCAACTCTGCTACTCAAATCAATACCGAATTCTGCATTAATAAATAGAGGTTTTTGACCTTCGAAATTAAATGTAACATCTAAATGGAATTTAAGAAAGCATAAAGTTATATTATATTTAAAAGGAATAAAAAATATCTGAACTTGCCATGTAAACCTAAAATTGGGGGTTGAAGTTGGGATGGTTCTGGGAAACGGAACTTCACAATATAATCTTTAGGTTTTGATAAAAGCTCTATCGGGCCATCTTCGTCATCGTTCTTTTGAACTTTGTTCTTTCCTTTTTCCTGTTTTCTGGTTAAAGTCTCCTTTTGTTTTTTTTCCTAAATTTATAATTTTAAAAAAAATATGTATGTATGTAGTTAATATAACATAAAAAGCATTCTTGAATATTTATATATACCGCAGCTTTCTTAGATTGACCATGTGCTTTCATCTCCTTGATTCGCTTCTCTTGTTTCTCATATTCCTTAATCATTTCCTTTCGTTTTTGCACATACATTTTTTTGAACATTGAATAGTTTCCTTTGTAATAGTATAACTTTTTGTTATCCAAATGAATGATTTCGTTACAAACATTATCTAAGAAACTTTGATCGTGAGATACAATCAATAACGTTTTTTTCCAACCTTGTAAGTAGCTGAAATAGTACCAGTAATAACTCAATATTTAATTTAATTCTTAATTTACTTACTTATCCAGCCAGATAACCGCATTCAAATCTAAGTGGTTCGTAGGTTCATCAAGCATTAACAGTGTTGGCTCCAAATATAAAGCTCTTGCTAATGAAACACGCATTCGCCAACCACCTGAAAAATTTTTTGTCGCTCTATTTTGCATTTCTACAGAAAATCCTAAACCAGCTAAAATTCTTCTTGCTCTAGGCTCTGCTGAGTCTGCCCCTATTGCTTTCAGTTCAACATACACCTCATTTAATTGATCTTGAATATCTAAACTGCTGCTTTCTTTTATGTAAAATAATAAAAATAAAACACGAAATATTTACTTAAAATTTTACAAATTATACTTTCTAATTTAGCCTCAAGCTCTTTGCATTGGTTTAAAAGTTTAGTTCTTTTAACATCTGCCATAAGTATAGTTTCAACAGCAGTGTGCTCATCAGCAACCACTTCTTGTTCACATAGTAAAACATCTATATTAGGGGGTATTGCAAAAGCTCTTGATGATATATGCCTTAATAACGTTGTTTTACCATGACCGTTGGGGCCAACTAAGCCATAACGTCGACCATTTGCTATTAATAAGTTTGCATTGACAAAAAGATCATTCCCCTTAGCAGATATAGTAAAATTTTCTATTTTAATATCAACAGCGTGTTCTAATTGAGCCTTTTGTCCTGTAGTCTTTTGGGCTTGCGACATTGTGAAATTGCTATCTAGTTCTGATTGTCCTTGTCCCCCTTTTCTTGTCATAGCTTCCATTTGCTTCTCATATTCTTGTTGCTTTTTTAATTTCTTTTTTTCTTTATGGGTAAGCTTTTTCTCTTTGCCCTCAGCAAGTTCAGTTATTTCATTTAAATCGGTTTGAGTGATTACTTCATTTGTACTTTCTGCTTCAATAATTGCATCTTCTATGTTTTCATCTTTTTGAATTTCGATCATATTAGCTTTTGGTTCGATTAATTCACTTTCTTTCCCTATTTCCTTTTTTACTTCTGTTTCGTTTTCTACATCCTTTTCTTTTTCTATTTCAGTTTCTAAAAAACCTAATTGGCAAAATAAATAAATTATAAAAACAAGCATAAAAAACAAGAAATACCTTCTTCTTTGCCAACTATCACATAACTTTTCTCATCTTCTGAACCAATTTCGTCTTCTGCAATATCCGAATCTATTTCGCTAGTTTCTTTTTTCTTCTCTTTCTTTTTGTTCTTCTTGCTACTTTTTTTGCTTATCTCTACAGAATCATCTTGAGAATCTTCTTCTAAAATTAAATTAGCAAATTTGCTTTCGACTTGATCATCCGACCAATCGTCATCATCTTTTTTGCCTTTCTTTTTTTTATTTTTTTGTTTTTTTGCGGGTTGGCTTGATGTAACACTAATTTCATCATCACTGGCTTTTAATAAATTAACCTCGTCATCTGACCATTCCTCATCCTTGTTTTTTTTCTTCTTGTTTTTAGTTTTTTTCGATGAAATTTGATTGCTAACGTCTTCATCACTAGCCTTAACTGTCAAATCGGTTACACTATGATCAACGTTGTCGTCATCACCCCAATTATCATTACGTTTACCTTTCTTTTTTTGAGTTTTTTTGTTGCTTGACGTTGAAATTTTGTTAGATTCTAAAGTATTTTCTTCTTCTATATTATTTTTAACATCTTCATCACTCCATTCATCTTCTTTCCCTTTTTTGCCTTTTTTAACATTCTTTCCTTTAGGTGGAACTGTTTTAGAAATGATTTCATTTTCATCCAGATCTAAATTTTTTTTATTTCCTTTCTTTTTAGACATTTTTTCCAAGTATTTTATTGAAAATTTGTTGGGTTTAGTTTAAATTAAGAAAACTGAAAAACTTTTAAGAAATTTCAAACTATTTTTGTTCACCTATATCTCAAATTACTACACTATAGGACAATTGCAACGTGCACAATGTAATATGCTATGTATTATGTACCATCAATATATTGTCAACAATGGTGAACTGGTTGGGGTATTATGACAGTTATTTCATATTATGCCATATGTGTTGAAAAGTTGAGCAATCGCTGTCAGGGGTCATCACGATTTTATTTTATGACGTATTTAGCTTACGGCTGATTTTTTTGTTATGTCAAGATTAAGCTCAACAGCTCCGCCTTTTCTAGGTCATTTGTTTTATATTATTTTACTTAACAATTAATAAAAAAATTGTTTTAATTGTTGTAATATTAATAAATCATTATAATTAAAACAAATTATTTTTCATACCAAATTTCATATCACATTTCCGAAATCACTTGTCAATTGGAGATTTTCATTTCAAACTCTGAGTAACTGTAGTAATACTGAAAAAACCCTGCTAATCTCTGCTAATTAACTTTTTAAATTGTTCACAGTTTTTGAATAATTTTAAGTATATATTCTTCTCCATTATTTTTAAACTTTTTTTAAATTCTTTATTCATTACAAAAACAAAAATACTGCCTAAAATATGCAAGAAATTTCATCATAAAAATCTAAGTTTTTTAGCGAGAAACATTTCTTTTAGCAGGAAAGTATACCACAAGGAGAATTTAAAACTGGGAAATTAGTTGTTTTTCAATAATTGTGGACAGAACATATTCTTTGTACTTCACGTCTAGGCTTAATAAGTTTATTCTGCTGTCATAGTTGACATCTTGTGTCACATTCAAAAATTTTGAGAATCTGTGTGAAAGTTTCGACATTTTTATTCACTTTTGTGGATTTTTACCTTCAATTATCGAATTGCATTTAGTTTACAGTTAAATAAACGTTGTTAGCTCTGCATTCTTTTGTTTGCTTTACATATAGAAAACAAATTTTTTTAATAAAATTACATACAAAGATATTCCTAGTCAATTTTCATTCCTTTCTCTAAAATTAGAGAAAAGAGTATACAAGTACCTAGTTGAATTGCAACAGTTAAGTTATTATACGGTAATGATATATTTCATAATGCGATTGCAAAATATTACCATTAAATAACTAATATATTTTGAAGGTCAATACATAAGTAGAAATGAATCTTTGTATTAAAAGTTTCACCTGCATATGTATAATCAGCTGTGTAATTTCGCTGCCGTTAACATTGGGTTTCGAGTCAAGTCAAGATAATACAACCAATACGATTGCTAGCACTACAGAACCAGTAACAAGTGTGTCAGATAAGAATTTAAATAATCAAACTACCATCCCTACAACTGCTTCAGCGATAACGACCGAAAAAACAACAACAACTCCTAGCACAACAACTGCGAGTGCTGACCCAACCGAACCAGATACATCAACTACAGTTGCTCCTAACACTACTTCGACTAATACCCCTAAAACTACTGTTCCTCCAATAACAACCTCTACCACACCGCCACCTCCTCAGCCTTGTCGCAGATTTGATGGACCTTCCTTTATCGGAGGAAGTGTTTTATCTATGGGTTTAGTAGCTATTTCTTTCATTTGCTATAAATTTTACAAAGCACGTAATGAAAGAAATTATCACACACTGTAGATATATACAAATACCCACTCATAAAAATATACCTATCCACTTATAAAAGAACAAACTAAAATTCATTTAAAATAAATTTGATCTCATATATATTTGAAATACACAGAACTACTTGTATGTCTATAAAATAATATAAAACTGTCTCATACTTTAAATTCTCTTTAAAATTAGTATTTAATTAATTGGTTGGTTGATTTTATAACAATTAAGAAAAAGCGGCTACAAATCCTCGTAAAATCAGTTTTTGCTCACTAACTTTCTTATCTCATTGCAAAAATAAGAGATAAGTCAACGGGTAATAAGTATCCTTAAGAATATTTTTTTTTATAATGAGTAGAGAATCTCGTTCTTGGTATAAATACGCTGCAGATTATGGAGAGTACAATCCAATTCGTGTTGGATCCATTGATGGTAAATATATATATATTTTTTTGTTTTGTTTTAAGAATATTAACTTGATAATTAAATTCGAGGTACTGATGAAAAGCCACATGACCGCGCAATCGTTAGAGCTATGTTAACAGAATACGTTCCGGACAAAAAGTTACAAGGAAACCCTGCTAACACATTATTTATCGGAAGATTGCATATTAAAACAACAGAGGTAAACTTTTATAACTAACTTAGTAATTCTTTTTATAAATTTTTTTTTAATTTAGGAAACCCTATATCAAGAATTTAAACGTTATGGAAAAATTAAGAACTGCAGAGTTGTGAGAGACATTTATACAGAAATATCAAAATGTTATGCTTTCATAGAATTTGAAAATTTTCGATCAGCTAAAGAAGCTCACAGAGAAATGCATTTAAAAATTATTGATCAATGTGAAATCGTTGTTGAATTTGAGTTTGGAAGGTTAGTATATACATACATACATATGTATGTGCGTACATATATGGTCACTCATTTACTTATATATTGGTTAGAGAGTATAAAAATATACATGCTCAATTACAATTTTAAGAACGCTTAAAGGATGGAAACCAAGAAGGCTAGGTGGAGGTTTTGGTGGTCGTAAAGAATCTGGTCAATTAAGATTTGGGTGTCGCACACGTCCTTTCCAGAAACCATTGGAAACAACTAAACCGATTAATTTCAATGAAATTCATAGATTATATAAAAAAAATAGAAAAACATAAACATTATTTGGAACTATATTTGTTTGTCAATTGCTTATTTTCACATTTAAAAATGATTTAAAGAATAAAAATAATGAATTTTATATAAAAACTGTTTTTATTTCAATTCGGCCTTATATATATAATTTTCAAATCGCTTTTACTCTATAATAAGGTTTTAGAGTTTCGCTTTAGATTAAAATTTATTTTAGTTATTTAATACAAAGCATTTAAACAAATTAATTACTAGAATAATAATTGTAATTAAATTTTAACAAAATTGTATCTGAAAAATTTATACTTAGGATTTCCAGAAACTTGGATTCTGTTCCAATCTTCTTTGAAAATTTGTAAACCATGTTTGAAGTGTTGATAATGGCACAAACGTTTCATTAGGATTAGGTAACATTTGTGCTTGCGTCACAGCAAAACTAGATGCAAAATTGAAAAAGTTTTCTAACATCTTTTGACCAAATTGCAAATACGTCGTAGGGCTGGACTATTGGAAAAAAAAGTAAGACAATGAAATGTGATTCATGTAATGCAATAAAACTTACAGCAGCGGAAGTCATTTGAATTACACTAGCTTCTGTTTCCACAGAAACCTGAAATTATTTTAAAATTACTTATAATTTTTTGTTTACTTTAACTGAAATTAAAACTTATAAAAACCATATTTTTAAGATAAAACTGTCACAGGATATCTATTTATTAAAGAAATTTTAATGAGTAGCCAATTCTACCTACCCCAATTTGTGCAATATGTGATATAGGTTGACTACCGAATATATTCAACGGATTATTTGAATTTTCCAGTTCGTGTAACTCTAAAATATTCAATTGCTTTAAAAATTTTACAAAAGTAACGTAGGTACTTATATTTAAATTTACTTTTGAGATTCGAAATTTTAAAGATTGCAGATGGTTTGCTATTAGAAATATAACCTAAATATTGCCATGAAGGTGGTGCATTTGGATCCGGCCACGAAAAATACACAGCTCCTAAAATTTTAATTTAAATATGCATTCAACATCAAATCTTTCTTCTTTTTCATACCGGCTAATCCAATTGGCAGAGGAGTTGCTCCTGTTAAAAATACAACTATATGATTAACATTGTCAGCGTCCGGTATATTTATTAAAAATTTGTTCTCCCCTACAGGTTGAAAATCAGTTTCCGGCTAAAACATTTGTATTAAAGTATGTATCATTAAATATAGATTTTTCGTAAATATTTACCAGTCTTCCAGCCACAATAACTCCTAAGGAATTTGCCATGGGTACAATTATATGATTATTTTTTAATATTTGGATATTTGGTTTTTATTAAGGCTCTGCTTTTAAATGCTCGTTTTATTTATTAATTTTTATAAATTATTTTAAATTACTTCTTGTGGAAAGATCAATTTCACTAAACAACATTCGGAAAAAAATTTACTAATTTGCAACAAAAAAAAATGACTTTTCACATCTATGCACCCATACTTTATTTCAATATTTTAGCTTTACCGCTCTTTTAGGTTTTTACATTTGTATTATTAGACACTTTCGGCACTCAGAACTTATTTTTCACATATCGTGTTCATGTACTTAGTTGAATGAAAGAGCTGTCATACTTTGTATGAGGTAACGCTCTGTTTCCGCAATGCGTCGAATGCTACATTTGAATGAAAAGTTTTCCTTAAATATCACATAAAACTTCCGGCATAAAAGTTGCATTCAAATTCAAAAACACATTCATATCTTTTGTTGAATAATTTTTCAATTGGTTATTTATATCAAGTCAAACAAATAAAGTATATTTGCAACTCAATTGTGATGGTATGGTCAATATAGTATGGTTTACATATAATAAATGCAAACTAAAGAACCAACAGAATAAAGAATAAATTTGAATTTGGTTCAATAAAAAATAAATAGAATGTCAATTTCATATAAAATACATCAGTTCGTCGCAAAACCGATGAACTAGCGAATCTAGCTTTTCCATAAGAAAATTGAAGTGCAGTATAAATGTCTGATGAAAGAAAAAATTTAAACCTATACCTTATAGAAAAGGAGTTCGCGTGGTCAAAAACTATTTCATTGCTACCCGTTAGCTGTCTTATTATGATGACTTACAAAGAAATAAACCCTATAGCATATATTGAGCAAACATAGAGAGGTGTTGATAGATGATTCGCAAACATATAGATAAACGGAACGTTGATACTGTAGGGTAACTGCGACAGCAGCATTTGCACGAAGATGTAAAATATTAGTCAATACACTAATTTAAGTATAACAATTTATATTGCCAAGATATGCGACTTCGACAGTTGTCAAATTTTTCTATAGACTATAGTTAAATGACACAGTAATTTTTAATTTTGAAACGAAATTTAAAATAAAAAATAAGGATGTAAACAAGAATTGATAAATTTTTGATTAAATTTATTGTTGCCGTAACGGCATTTCTGCAACATCTCGTACGATTCTCACAAATACGAAAGCTGCAATATGTATGTAAAATGTTACTCTTTTATTGACTGTCTGCTCAACTGACAAAAAAATTTTGAGCTATACTTTGACATATTGAATAAATTGAAAAGGACAAAACAAACATTTTTCATATTTTATTGGAATAATAAACAAAGTCGTCTTTTCAATGAAACTGAAAATATACTGGCTAAACACCTACGTCATAGCAGCCATAAATTTGGCATCTCGAAAAACTAAATGAGCATAACAGTATAAAAAAAGTACACGTCGTTATAAAAATACAGAAACAAAGATGTCTCCGAGCATTCAGTAGTTCACGTTTCTAGCGAAATTCACATTTCTGTGGTAATAATCTGTTATTTCTATTTTTTTTTATTTTAAAGAAAAACCATAGTAGAACCCTTTGAAATAATATAAGTATTAGAGTCGCGACATCAAGAATAAAATGAAATTCTGCCTTCGTTAAAAAAAAGCAAAAACTAATTCAGAGTTTTTTCCATACTTCTTCAAAAGGAAGACGTATTCAAATCAACTATCAACAGCATGCCTATGAAAAACCTTCTGTTGAAGGGCGAATGTTTATTTTATATAATAGCTTTGAAACAAGCAAATTTTAAGGTCAATTTAAAATAAAATTGGATAATTACTTGTATACCTACATTGACGTGAGAAAATCTTTTCTTTTAAAAAGATGAATTAAAAAGGATATATTACCCCATGACAGTTAAACGAACATAACCGAAACGAACTTGAAAACAGAATAAGAGTTATTTTCCGCAGCAAAATGTCAAGATTCATGTAAAGCACACGTCACACTTTGATCTAATAATGCATAGCAAATAATAAATAATAATACAGCAAATAATAATTTTTGAAACCACCATAAAATATATTGATATATGAAATCTCTATATGTATATTATAATGTAAATATGTATATTATGTATCTATATATGCAAAACTGTTGGGACCCCCACCCGGTGCAATCGGAGTGAAATCGTGTTAGTCTTCCTTCATTTAATTGAAAATGGAATGTTCTTTTAAATTTACTTTTGCAAATAAAAGAAATGATCTTGGAACAAATGTTATATGAATCGTACATTTTTTATTTAAATTCAACTTTTTTTAACAATATGATACATGGTATGTTATAAATTTATACAATTTTCTTATAAATATTCAATTTGCATGCGTAAGTATGTATGTATGTACAAACATTCACAATTGTTTAATGTGAAACCAAAAACGATGCATAATGGTTTCCATTTTTTGGTACAACTATTGCGACAAGATTCCTAAAAGTTATACTTATAAATTAAAAAATTAAGTTTTGATAAAATTATATGTATTAATATATACATATGTATGTATAAATTAACACTGTTTAAATATTTATGTTAAATTCGCAAAACCTACGGACCAACTTTGTAAACTTTAAAATTTGGAAAACTCTTAAATGAATAAGCGTTGATTTTAAAATTTTGTAGAATAATATTCATGTTTTAATTTTCCAGATTCTCATTTTTTTATAACAGACTTAAAACTAAGAGTAACGAGTTTAGGTCAGGTTTAAAAGCATAATTTCTTTGGATTTTTTTATAATGTGTTATATTATATTTTATTATACAGGGTGTTTTACATGACAAACCATGAAATTTTTTGCTGGAAATTGATCAAATAATTATCCATGAAATTATTTGCCACCTTATGTGAAATATCCTGTATGTGTCACAATCAGTACATGCATACATACATATATTGTATCCACACCACAAGCATGTATTTATTAATTTCAACGGTCCTTTAAATATACATATGTATGTATATGGACGTACATACATATCTGTTTTATGCATACATTATTGCGTATATAATTATACATATTTATACATAATATGATTATTATAAGCTCTATTTTATTAAATTTTTTGTGTGAATTTTATGATTTCTATATCAGTTAATTTCACAGCCTCTAGCTTAACAAATTTATGAAACATATAATTATTACTTTCTATTATAATTATATTTATATATAATAATGTATGTACATATATTAATATCCATAAAATTATACTTACTGTATGATTTTTTTATATTTGGACTAATAGTTTAACATTGATTATACTGATACAATTTTTTTTTTTTTTTATTTTAATGTGAACATTTTTAATTTGCTTAGTTTTATTTTTTATGGGCTGATCTTATATATTATACGCATGTATGTAACGCTCAAATGCCATACATAATCCAACACACTTATTTAGTAATCTAGACTCAATTATTTAGATTTAATCTAGATAGAAAAAGAAGTTGAATCGTGTATGGATATTTTGACCAATAACCTAAAAACTGAGTTAATTGAATTAATTGAATTCATTTTCAAATTTTTAATTTTTTTATATTTCCACTTTATATTATTTTGCAGTGAATAGCATTTTACAAATTATTTTTTAAAATTATAAAATAAAAAAAAAGCACCGCAACAAAAAAATGTTTGCTCTAATTAATTTTTGTAAATGTAGAATTATTATTCTAAACGAAAGTTTGGTTCTAAATTTTTACTTTGCTCCAAAATGAATATTTGGGATTTGATACATTGGAGAAATTGTAGAATATTTAATATACATATGTATGTGTGTATATTTTAAGTAGTATAAAAATTTTAAATTATTACAAACTATAATAAATTGATTTCGCGTTGATAACAAATTTTGACACAAAAAATTCTTTTTTTTGTGTCAAAATATGTCTTTTAAGCGTTATTAAAAAATATTGAGCCTCGAGGTTAGTTCAAATATAACTTGATTATAGGATAAAGTCATTTTTTGACAATGTCAAAGAACATTTTCAAATTAATACAACTAGTAAAAAAACTAAAATAATAACTTTAAAATAAGACTCAATTCTGTCTTGTGAAGGGATCTATTATTTTCAGGAGTTCGGTAGTTAGATAGTAATGTCTTTATATCTAACAAGTCCCAATACTCAATTTTTTTTACGAAATGTTACGAATTTTTGGCCTCGTTGTTGGTTTTTTCTTTAAATGCCACTGATCGTGTCATATTTTTTATTATTTTTTTCTTTTTTTTTACGTAAAAAAGAGATTAATATTTTAAAAAATCTCAGGATATTATACACATTTTTTAAAAAGCTTCCCATTTAAATTCTATTGCACGAAAAAGAAAGAAAGGTAGGAGGAAAGAAAAAATGAAAAAAAATTTCAAATTCATATTTCAGTATGGTTTCAAATGTTAATGAGGAAGGATGTATGATTTTTTATGCACATTTTGTATTTCCCAATAAGGTAAGTTGAGTAGTGTCGACTAACAAAAATGTTATTAAAAGTAATATAGGTTGACACATTTCAACAATTTGAATTATCTCATTTCGATTATTCATACGTTACTTATAAAATTGTTTCAAATAATTTCACTTAGTTTTTAAGTTATTAAAAATAAATATGTATGTACCTACTTCCAATAAATTTTTTTTTAAATAATTATTTTAAAACTATTTCAAACATGTTATATTGAGTGCTTCTAAAATTTTGCTGTGCTCTTTTTTCATATTTTATTAGCAGGTAAACAAGAGCAATCTATTTATAAAATGTCCCTGCATGTGTATGTATGACCTATCTTAATTCTAAACAGAAAGAATTTTAAAATACCTGAACAAAAATTTTAAAATACCTGTTATTTTACAGTCGGAATTTTCGAGTCATTTGGTAAAATACCATTTATTTCAAAAATAGAAAAATATTCAAATCCGGTCATAAAAATATATGATTGTTTTTTCCAAACATTTTAAATATTTTTTTTTCTTAGGTAATTGATATAGTAAGTTTTTAATATTTTTTCAAATAAAAATAGAGGTAAAATTTTGAAGTTTATATAAAATTTGTATTTAACAATTAATATTTGATTGTATTTTGGATATTATTTTCTAATTCCCTCTTCAAATTTTTTCTTTACTATGTATTTATATCAATATTTAAGAATTATCTTTCATTAATTATATTTTCAACTTGACACCACAGGTACTTCCCATATCTTGCGTTAACTTACCCTATGAGAAAAAAAAGCTGTTCACTTAAAAATAATGAAATGCTTTCAGTAACAAATAAAACGTTGAAGGCGAAGTTTGTGTTTGTTGTTTTTCCGCTTTTTTTTAAATTTTAAAATAATTATCAATGAAAATATTAATATATTTTTTTGATTTTTCAAATATATGTTCTAAATTTTACCTGCTTTATAATAAGTGTGAATTTATTTTAATATTTCTTCTCAAAAAATAGCCACTTCGATTTAAAAAAGGCCATATAAAATAAGGTGTGCTTTCAAGTTTCTCTCTGAGCATTGGGACTTGTTAGATATAAAGACATTATAGACAGTAATTGTGAAATTGTGTATAAAATACAAAGTTATTGTTATTTATATTAATGGATGTACAAATTATATGTATGTATGAATTTATTTTTGATTATTTTATGAAATTTTACTATAAAGGTAAAAATATATTTTAATTAATTTCGACTGCTTTCATAATAAAATTTACAAAATAGAAAAAAAAGAAAATTACTTAAATATTTTTAATTATTTTAATAAGTTTTTTTAATTTTTCTTATAAATATTTTGTTATTTTTATGTTCTGTTTTTGTTTTTTCTATTAAATCAAAAATTATAAATATTATTTTATTTAAGGCATAAAAGGCATTTTTTATGTACATATATATATATATATATATTTATTATATATGTATATAATGTTCACATTTTATTTTAATTAGTTGTACAACTACATGTAAATTTTAATTTAGTTGCAATTTTTTGTGATTATTTTCAAAATACAAGTTATATGCTTCTTTATATGGACTCATTCTCTATACTCTCATTCTCATATGGATTCATTCTAGTAATTATTTAACTGGGAATTTACAATTCGCAATTATATAATTATATATTTTATATATTTTTATATTTATATATTTTTATGCATTTACGAAATAATATTATTATTTTTATCTTCATTATTAAATATATATTTTTTTGTGAAATTATTTGTAGGTTATACAGGTTAAATTTATTTAAATGTTATTTTTATACTAAAAAATTAATAAATAATTTCTGGTTATTAATTGCATGTTCTATTATTAATCAATTATAGAATAACTTAACATTATATTAAATATATCGATATAATAATATAAGCCCAATGAAATTATAAAATTCATTATGTATAAATATAATTGTACAGGTACATAGTTACCCATATTCTGTTAATCGCCTCTCTTGAAGTGATGGTATATTATTGAAAAATATTTCGGTTTTTATTGTAGAATTCCAATTTTTAAATATTGATTTTATTCAGAAACTTGCAAAATTTTTAAATAACAACTAATCACGTCAAATGATGCGATTAACAGAATGTGAGCGTATGTTTTTGAAAATATGTATGCATGTCAAAATATAAAATTAATCGGTTAGCCATTAATTTATAATAATTAATTGTTTTTTTTAAATTTATATGTACGTACATGAAGTTATATAGAATGAGTCAATTTTTTCTTGTTATACTTGTATATGTATATATATACAATATGTATATATATATATATATATATGCAATTAATTACTTGGTTATTATGTAGTTTAATTAATATGCATAAAAATATACCTAAATATATTTCGAAGGCTGTAGATTAAAAAAATTAATCTTAGAGAATACGGGAAATCTATACAAGTTATCTTATAACACAAAATCAAGATATAAAATATATAAATAAAATTTCTTAGAATTCACAAAATTATAAAAAAATAAATAATAGACCAAATCCACATATTTTGTATTTTGTTTGCACATTATTTTCTTTGATATAATGGAATCGAAAATTTACAATTTCTTAACATTTTTAAACTAAATTATTAAATTTTTCCAAATGTAACAGTAATGAGATATTTCGATAGGTTTTTGTATAATTTTCTTAAGAAAAGCAAATGCTTTTAATAATGTAAAATAATGTACTACTATTTTTCTTAGTAACTCTTAAACCATACTGTAGGTAGGAAGTTGACTTGTAAACCAAATAAAAGTTTAGTTAACAGGGCTACCAATTGTATTAAAATTAGGAAACTGCAATATTATGTCGTACTAAAATTTAAAATTTTTCTAACTTTAAAGTCATGTAATTCCGAAATCTGAACAGATTATAACTAATGTATTCATGGGAAAGCCCTTATTCTGAGATTTCCAAATCACATTTAATAATTCGCCTATCTGACTTAGGAAATTTTTTGATATAGGTATATTTTTTGCATTTTACAAACAAATCTTTCATATTATATTTTTATTACATAGGTAGTTTTCTTGCAATTATAAATATTGTATTAGCGTTAATGCAAATCTATTTCAAATATTTATATTGTATATATGCATAAATATTTATGAATAGGCATCTTAAAATATTTGTTTTGAATATATTAAACAAAAGAATTTAAATATATGTATGTGTATAATTACTTTTTATACTTTTTTTTATAATAGCTAGAGGATCATTTGACATTTTTTATTTATAATTATTTATTTAGGTGAAATATTAATTATAATTAAAGTTGAGGAATCAAAGAGAATAAATTTTTTAATGGGTTACGTTTTTTTTTTATATTTAACAAGTTTTAACAAATTTTTTTCCAATTTAATTTATAACTGTTATATAATATATTTTGTACATGTATTGTTTTTATTAATAAATGTTATTTTTCTATTTATAATAATTTTAATTTTCTCTTTTTGCTTCTATAAAAATATTTTTTTTTTTTATAATCTTTATTTTCTTTATAATTATTTTATAAATTATATTTATATATATATATATATATATTATAACAATGATTGCTTTGCAAAATTACTTTCTAATTATTATTATAATAATAAGCCATTGGTTTTATTTAATTAAAAATTTACTATATATTTTATATGTATATTATATAGTTTCTTTTTTACATACGTACATATACAGTATACATATATATATATATATATATATATATATATATGTATGTATAAAGAAAAAATAATTTATAAATATATAATTTTTTATTTAATTTCATAAAAATGATTTCTCTTACACAATATAGGCAAAAATTGAATTATTTTTTAAATTAAAAAATAATTTTTTTATTATGATTAATTTTTTTTAATTTTTGATTGAAAATTTCGCTGTAATTTGATTCGCAAAATTAAAATAATTTACAATAATAATTACGTATATTTCTAATATTTAGCTACTAACTTAAAAAAAAAGCTCACATTTCAAAAAATGGAAGTCTTTCTGTTTGAGGATATTGTATAATATATTAGTATATATTAGTATATATATATATATATATATATATATATATATATATATATATATATATATATATATATATATATATATATATTATATGTAACAATAATAAGTAGATATTTAAAATTTTAAATTTTCAATTAATTTGTTTTTAGGTATATATATATATATATTATATAACTTAATATATATACATATATATGTATACAATATATATATATATGTATATATATATAATATATATAATATATATATACATATATATATTATATATATTATATATATTATATATACATTATATATATATATATTGTATATATATATATATATATTTAGGTATATATATGCATAGTTAATTACGTACTTCAATGAAGGATCAAAATTTTTATGCATGTAATGTTTTTTTTAATAAGTTCATACTTAATCAAAATATGCTTGATTAATCTCTATTATTTTTAAAATACGCTAGAAAATACAATACACATAGGTCAATTTTGTTTTTTTTTTATCTTTGTTCTTTTAATGCACAAGACCACCTAAGTAGCTAACCATTGCTTTATTACGAAGTTTATTTCGTAATAATAGCAATGGTTAACTACATTAACATCGTTAAACATTGTTTTATATTAAAGTTTCTAAATGGCTACATAATTTAATTACGCAATTTTTATAATTGCAAATTTGTATAATAAATTAAGATGTTAAAAATTTTATATATGTATGTATCAACCTGATTTTTTGCAGCTGTCATACTTGGAGTGTTTAATTTTTTAGGTTTTTGCAAGAAATTAATAAATTAATTACAATTACTATTATACTCGTACATAATTTATTTTATATAGCAATTATAAGTTTCTATTACATATTTGCCTTAATTAAATAATACAATAAAATTGGTATCAATTAGCAAAAAAAAAATTTTATTAAATAAGAATTCACTGTTGATTGGAAATATCATGTCTTTCACAAAATTTTGAAATACACAAATGTGTACACAGTCAAATTTATTTATTATGTAATAACGAATGTAACAATGTAATATTTAATGTAAAAACTATATATTTGAATATAACAAGCAGTCTAGCGTATTCATAATAATTTCTCTTTTAATTTTGTTAAAAGTACTTTAATGCATATTCTTATATAATAATTTAGAAACTGTATTTTATAAAATTACAATATTTTGTTATATTGTAACATTTTCTCACTCTTCATTGTAATATACGCCTACGCATTTTCCAGAGAAAATAAAATTTTTATTTAGCAAAAGTTAGTATATATATACATATATATATATTTTTTTCTTTTTTTGCAATGATGAAAAATGCACTCAAAATGGATTTATAAAAAGCCAATATTTAATTATTTTGAAAATATTTTGTATGATGGAAGGATTCGGGCTTCTTTCAGGTTTTTTAATAACTATACTATATAAAAAGTCTTTTATTTTCGTTTTATTGCGAACCGTTATTGTTATATTTTAACATAATGATTTGCATTATCATTCTTTTTATTATATTTATAGTTTGCTTTTATAGTTTGTTTTTGTGTATCTTGAATATTATAGTGTTTTTAATTTGTTGAACCACTTCCACTACTGTTCGATTTTAATATTGATGCAATTGGTGTTGTATCCAAATCAATTGGTGGTTGATGACCATCTTGATCCATTATTGGTGGTAAAACATTATCTTGAAATTGTCCAACAACATTACCTTAATTATGTGTTAGAAAAAAAAAGCAAAGTAAAGTAATTGTAAAACTATATTCTTAAAAATAAAATCTTTTATAATATAGTTATGTACTTTATATATATGTACTTTATATATATATATATATATATATATATATATATATATATATATAAGCTATGTTTAATATATTAAAATAAGTTATATACCTGGAGGATAATAGTATGCCACCACAAAAATTTTTCCAGTTCGTGATGTAGCTTTACCAACACCAAAATATTTTGATCTACGCCATACAATTTGAGTAAAATGACCGGCATTTACATTCGTATGTAATAAACTGGGTTCTTTAAAATAGTTGTACCGACGAACTACAAAAAAAAAATATATATGTATATAAAAATAAAATTTAATATTGACGACATTGTTTCAAATACACAATCATAGAGTTAGATGGAAACTTACCAGTACTGTACCAGTAGGAAGCGACTTCTTGCCCTGGAATATTTAAAATATACATTTATAGTAAATTATAAAATTCTATAGTAGAAGAATTGGTACAAAAAATATGGTACAAAAATATTTTTTTTTTTTTTTTGGCCAAACCAAAATTAAACATAATCATTCAGAAATGGGATATTTGGTTGAATAAATTGTGCTAGATTATAAGCAAAATACAATACCATTTTATGCCAAATTTTAAAAATTTGGAAATCTAAAGGAGTTTAATTAAAAATCTTTAAATTTTTTATTTTTAAATGACAAGAAGTAAAAAACTTTGACAACTACATTAGCAATGTATGTATATATTCATGTATATGCTTCTATAAATTTTTTATTTTATTTCTAGAAATTTAGATTTATAGGGTGTGTTTTCCATTTATAGTAATAAAATTTATTAAATGTTTTTTGTTGGTAATTTGTAAATTTGTTTTTTTAAATTTTATTTGACGCAATAAATAATTTATTTGAATCAAAAAATTTAAAAAAAAAATTTTCTTGATTCCGCCTTTAATTTTTTTCATACTAACATATACATACATATGTATACAAGTGGTTATAATCTGCAATGACCTTGAATAACTTTAAAATTATGAACGATAAAATTACATGTTCAGATATTAGAAAAGAAATTAAGGTGTATAACTGTCCATAGACATAAGTATGTATATACATACATAATATGTATGTACATTTTTGTTTTTTGTTTGCATATAATTAGAAATATTTTCAATACGGGGTCTATTGAAGATAAATAAATCAAGTGAAAAAGATATGATAACACCCAATTGAGAGAATTTGTGACGTTAATAAAATATTTGTGTAAATGAGTAATTTGACATTATTTTACTCTCAATTTTTCAAAACTAGCATATTTATTTAAAAAAAAATGTATGTAATTAGAGTTTCTTCACTCTGACCGTGTAACAGTGCAAGTTTGGCAAAGAAATTATTATTTTTAGCACTTTTCCAAAAAATTTTTTGAAAAAAGTGCTTATTAGTTTCACTCTGTCCGTCCGTCCGTCCGTCCGTCCGTGGACACTTTTTTTGTTTACAAAACTTCTACACCCTTGAAGATAGAAAGCTAAAATTTCATACGTACGTAGATCTTCACTAGAAACTTATTTCCTTAGAACAAAATTTTTACCTATCTCCCCCCCTCTAGAAGTTATACCCCCCCCCCCCCCCAAAACCCTAAAAATGGCATTTTTTAAATATTTGTTGCAATGAAACCATTAGCATTTTTGAAGTTTTGCAAACGCAGAAAGGCAGTGGCTTGCTTCCCCTAGCGCGGTATACTATAGTTAAACTTTAGAAAAACAAAATGGCCGTTCAAATTGACCGTTATCTAAAGTCCTTTTTTTCCAAATTTTTGATGTCGTTTTTCTTTTTAGACCCCATACTGTAGAATTTTGAAATTTTAGGGGCTTGTAGACATTAATAAATAGTTCATTTCGTTAGGAGAAAATTTTTTTCCATCTCCACCCCCTCTCAAGTTATCGTCTCTTGAAATTCGTAAAATTTGAATTTTTGACACCTTATATTTCCGAAACCGCAAGCTTTTTCAAATTTTTATAAACGCAGAAAGCTAACGGTAAATTCCATGAAATTAAAAAATATAATTATTTTTCTTAACTCACACAATTAACCCTTAAAATCGAGCATTATGTTAATCCCTTTTTATATTAATTTTTGTTTTATTTCAAAAACTGAATATATGCGTCATCCTAGATATATGCAATCCTAGAAATAGTTTTAATATGAATGAAAATAATTTTAATAGTGTGATAGGTATCCATAGACTGTATTTAAAAGCAGAATTTTCACTTGTTGAAGGGAAAAGTGCTGCAATACAAACCATTGGTTTGACCCAACTTTATTCTTTTTTAGTCCAATAGAAAAACTTGGCTTTCTCAATTTATTTTATTTAGCAATAATATTTTCTTTGTATTTATATAACACTAATTTGAAATAAGAAATAATTTCATTTACCTGTTAAGTCTGTAACAAGTGCACTTATGGGACAACAAAATAAATTTTGTCCAAGACTTTTTTCTGATCTATAATAGAATTCATTCGTGCTTGCCAGGTGATTAGCCCAATTTTGTGCATGTTCACATAGCTAGAATTACAAAAAAAAATTATTATAATTTTAACTAATAGAATTTTAAAAAATAAATAATAAAAATTATAAAATTAATTAAAATGTAATATAAGGTAGAACTAGTCGTGTCAACTCTGGTGTTTACCATACGATTAAACAATTCTAGGTGGTACATCATAACTACCATACTAATGTCATATAACCAATTGTTTCTGAATAATAGCATTGTTCCTGCAAAACTTTATAACCATAGCATGAGTATTTTTTTAAAATATGATTTTATAATTTTACAATGTTTAGGACGCATGAGACATACGTTCGTTACTGTAATTTACATTATTCACGAGAATATACACTAGTACAATATGTGGTCGATTATGTTCTGATCTCATCAAATTTATTTTTCTTATCCAACCTTTGTGGTAAAAAATATGTATGTACATATTTTCCTTTTATGTTAGGTGCCCGATATTGATTAATATAAGGAATGCGCATATCCTAGAATTTTGTTTTCTTTTCTGAATTTTAAAAGAACATTATATAATAATGATAGAAATTATAATAAAAAAAAATAAAGTTGAATTCCTTTGTCCCTTTTGTTTTGATTTTAACTGAAAAAAATCTGTTTGAAAGAATTTTTATATTTTTATAAAAAAAATTTTTCTTTTTTGGAATTAATAAGCAATCAGAATAATAAAATTCATTCTGTTTTAGTTCAGTTTATTTTTTTATTTTTTCTACTTCATTTTCAATTCAATTGTTTGTTTTAAATGAGTAGATAGACTGCAGATGGTTTGTTTGTTTTGTTGTCATTTATTTTAATGAAAATCCTATACATACAAAATATTTTGAATATGGAGAGGGATGATAAAAAATAAATTGAATTTTAAGAAAATTTTTATTTAAATTATTGTGTATATATAGGAAAACAATTCAAAGAATTAAAATGAAAACAGCTTGATATAAAAATTTTCATTTTATTTAAAATAAAAACCAATTTTTTTTTAATAAATATGCCGTTGTAATATACTTCAGAAACATATGTGACTTTAGTGTAGCATTTTTATCAACTTATGTTGGGTTTCTTCTATGTAATGGTGCAGAATTATGTAACAATATTTTAGATTAAAATCAATTGCAATATTCAAATGGAATACTATCAGATTCTAAATTCAAGAACTACATTTGAATATTGTAATAACTAAATTCTTAATCATCTAAACATTTCGGTAATAATTTTTATAATATTACCAGATTTCATATATTTAGAATTTCATATCAAAATTTTAGTTCTATTGATAGAAACTTGTATTTCTTGCACACACTTTATTAGATTATTAAAACCCAAAAATATTCGGTCTCTTTAAGAAAAGGCACAATATATTATAATTCGTGTAATTAATTAGAATTTAATTCTTCGATATTGAATTAAATATTTACGGACATATTCACACTCATATAATATAATTTTTAATTGCTTTTTTTAAAATATTTTCGAAGTTTATTGCAACAAAATAGCATAAATATTAATAATCCCGTGTAATTCTGAACAAATATAAATGTTAATTTTAATCAAATATGAATTTATTTTTTTAAATTTATTATACAAAAATAGCTAAACAAGAATCTTTAAAAAGATTTTTAAATAGAAACTTATTTATGTCAATATCATTTAAAATGAGCAAATCAAAAAATAAATATTCGCAGGCAATGTATATAAGTTTAATTGCGGGTTCATTGTCATTTCATGTGGTATAAAAGAGAATAAAAAAGAAAATTCGATTTGAAATTGGCTTCTATACTTTTAAAATTTTTTAGATTTAAAATTATACTTGTAGTAAAATCAATGAACTATAATAATGATTACCTTGATGATTGCAAGTCATTTATGCATATAAAAATAATTTATTATGAATTTATTATGATTTATTTATGTCAAATGCTTGCAAGATCCAATATAAAAAAAAAACTAAAAAAAATTATCATTGAGTTTTAAGATCTTTTGTTTTGAGTTTTCAAAGTTCTCTTAAATATTGCAATGAAAGAAGTCATAAAGTATAGTAAAGGAATTCAGCAATTAAGGGTTGTGTTATGAAAAGCTCGAGACAGATGAATTAGGTTTATTAAGGAAAAAAATCTGAAATCTATGCCTTTGTTTTTAAGGCAATTATTAATAATAACAACAGAAAGGAATTGTATTTGAAAATATTTAAAAATAAGAGTGGCCGTAGTTTTTACAAATTTTGGCGTATGTTTTTCTTATTTAATTTATTTCGGGAATATATTAAAATTTACATTGACACATGTTTTTTTTTATGAAAAGGAGTCAGATATTGAAGTGAAAAGTCACCTAATTTTTCATTGCAACATCAACTTATCAATTCAATATCAAATTTTTGCATTCAGGTTTCACTGCCCTTCAAGTCTTAACGCTTAATACTAAACCGTAATGATGTTTTTGTTTCCAACGATAAATACTTGTAAATAAACGGTAACACTCTTACTAAATTTTTTCTCTGTATAATTATGATAATTTAAATATTAGAGTTTAGATATTAAATTTTATTTACGGTTTTGCCGCCTAATTTACGTAATCATTGAAATAGACAATTTCAAAATAACCTCAAAAAATTATAATTCCATAGAATCTATTTGTTTAAATTTTTAATAATAAATTTTATTAAATTGCATCCTTCCGAAATTTCATAAAGTTTTATTTTTGAATAAAAATAATTTATATTTGTAATTTGTTCTTTTCATTGCTTTTGATCTTTTCGTATCTTATTGTTATAAATTATGGCTCATAGAGATTTATCATGCACATACATAAATTTTTATACATATATAGAGGGAATTCATTCATTAAAAATTAAATCAAAATATAATTAAAGAAAAAAAAAATAAAAATGATTTTTAAAATTTTGCCACTTAAAATTTTCCCACTTGAAAACTTTTCTAAAAATAAATTTTTGTTTTTATGTTCAGAGATAATTGTTTGAAGTGATGCCCATAGACGTAAAATAATTTTAAAAGTATAGACAAATTTTGTACAAATTGCTTTTATATTTTAACTTTCTTTTTTTTTTACTTTTTGCATTAATTGCAAATAATTGACAATTAAAATTTTGGTTTAAGTCCAAATTTTTATTTTGAATCTTTTATTGCTTTGATCTAATATTTTAGTTGTGGTCAAGTCATTTATAAAGATGTCAATGTATAAAATTTATATTTTAAGAAAAAAATAAACATATTTGACACCTTGACAGCCTTTAAAGAGCATCAGTTTACGAAATAACATAAAAATTTGTAATTTTAAAGTTTTTTTCACAGAATTCCTATTTATTGTTTGAATTATTTGCTGTCATTTTGCTGTTGTTGTTCTTCTGGTTTCTTTTTACTGCATTTCATTTAAAAGAATATATGTCACTCCGAATTATTTCCGAAGTTGATGGAGTACTTTACACATAAATTGAACTCTGTTTTGAATATACTACTTCTTCTATATACAGTATAGCAAAAATTTCTTCATAAATTTAAATATTGATATGATTTGACGCTTATGTCCCATATAAATAAGAGTGTTATACGCCGTTTAATGAATAAAACTCTATAATTTTAGAAACTTATCACGTTTTATATATGGCAAAATTACAGCAAAAGAATAAATATTACCATGTATTACAAAAAATAGAGATTTTCATACATTCAAAACTGCAAAACTATAACTATAAAATCAAAACAGTTCATATGCTTTACTCATAATATTTTCGCTATAAAACACAAAAGTAATTATTATTATGAACCATGAAATGAATTGAGCAATGAGATTGGCAAAATTCGCCTATGAAGTCTAATATAGCGCAGTCTAATTTTCGCTTTATAATATTGCGATACACTGCGTTCATAAAAAAGCGTACCTTAATGTGAATTTGTTCAAACCAAATAAGACAAATATATAAAATTACGAAAATTTGTTATACTGCAAGCCATTTAAAATTTTTAAATATAATTCATAAATTTTCATTAAAATGTACAATAATTCAGATTTTGAAAGGAAAATAAATGCATTGTCATAATTTAAATTAAAAATTAAAACATTGTATATAAAATTTTTTTATACTTTGTATAACAAATTTATAATTATATACTTAAGCTTTACAAAAAACAAAAAATAGTTTTTATTGTATAAAATTCAAAATTTTAATTTAAAAAATAATTGAAGAAAAAAAAATACCTCCGGTGAAACAGTGAGTGCAGATGCTCCATGTCTAGCACGATATTCATTATGCCAACATAAACAATCTAATATGAAGTCTTTATCTTGCAATAATGGTTTCGGTGATTCTTCTCCATTATTCAAATCTCGTCGGGAAGAAATCTAAAATAGCAGAGAAAAAAAGCAAAATGCAAAAATTAATTTTAAAAATTTAATAATAAATTTAAAATTAAGTTCTTAAAATGAAAAACTAAATTCATAATTTATTAAAGTGGTTTAAAAAACAAATACAAAAATTATAATTGAAATTTTATGAGTAAAGAAAGAAAACAAATAATTATTGTTTTTCTTTCTTTTAAAGTATGACATCATTGTTTTTCAAGTACATAATTGCATTAAAATTAAAAAATTAAAATTGAAAATTAAATAATTGAAAAATAATTTTTTTTCTTTGTATTTGACAACGATTTTTGTTTAATTTTAGAAGTTCTTTTATTATAGTCGATTGTTAAATTTAAATCAGGCAAATTGCTTAGGCCAAGCATCAATTGACATGCAAATTAATATTTCACACAAGAGTCAAAATAATCATCATTTAACGCAAAATCGTCAGTTTGGTCAAATAGAAGCTAGTATATAGTAGGTTAATTACTTATTCTTCGCCACAATTAATGCTCGAAATTAATATTGCATATATTTTGGCTCACAATAACCTGGTTTTTGTCTTAAATCATTTCTAATTTATGATTTTTCATGACTTTTTGACAAAACTGCTATAAAAATGGCATTACGTTTAACACTTCCTTTTTTTCAAATGATTATAATGTTCGTGTTTGTAATATACATACACATATCCGTTTATAAATATAAATTTCTTGTTTGTTTTACAATGTCAGCGCGAAAAAACCGCTATATACTAGGTGATAAAAGGATAGATAGTAAGTATAGTTACTTGAAATAATTGATGGTGTCAAAATTTTCTCACTTTGCTCCTCATTCGTGTAACAAATGAATTTAAGCAAGGAAGTTGAAAGAAAAAATATAATAAACATTCTTTTCTCCATTTTTGGTTGCACGCTTATCAAAAAAGGATATTAAAAATTTTAAAGTATTTATAATAAAATAAATTAATGATAATAATTTAAAATAGTGACATTCACTTAAAAAAAATTAAGAAAATACGGAAAACAGCTTATAATTGCTTTGACAATTAATGAAATGGATTTGCGTTAAACCAATGGTTTTTAAAGCAGCAAATTTCACGCAAATACGTGGAATTGCGTCTTTAAAAAAAAAAAAAAAAATTGCATACTTTAAGGATGAAAATAAAAATTATTTTCACATTGTACCACAATTACCAATTCACTATAGGTTTTTTTGCTTTTATAGAAGTTTTGAAAAGTTTCAGAGAAATAAGAGGCAAGCGAAAAAATTTTGAATACAACCGAACTTTTCATGCTCTTTGATATCTAGGTCTTTACCTACTAAATCAGACACAATTTTACAGTGTGTTCAACGGCAACAGTATATAGATTCAAGTCCGTGCTTTAGGTGATTGTCGCTTCAATTTATTTCATAATGGAATATTTTTCTCCTTTTTATATTCCCCTATTTATCTCTTCTCTTCTTACCGACCGAATTGCATATAATAAGAGAGGTTATGTAATAGAACTAAATTTTGTATGTCGAAATTTTGGTGGAAACACAAGAAGTTTATTTAGAAAGATTTCTGTCTGTCTGTCAGTCTGTCTGTGTAGATCTGTATCTCAAGTGCGGCTGACCGTTTTTTTTTCTCGAAAATTCTGTATCTAAATTTAATTCGAGGATTTGTAGATTTGTATAACGGGGGCAACAGTGCACCGCGACCACGTATAAGGATCTATTGTGCGCCCCCATTCGTGTGCGGGGCTCATGAACTAAAGCAACGAGCAAGAGCATCACACTCCTCCAGGAGGTGCACCGATACTCAAAATTCCGGTGAGGACTCTCACCTGGTTGTTGCCCATCCCTATAATTTTCTTAAATCGCTTCTGGTCATAATCTCCCAGGAGCTCTTTTTCTTGCCGCAGCCCCAGAAGACTTCTCCAGCGCTCCGACCGCCTTCTTTCTGATTCCTTCTTTAATTCCCAACGAATAGTATATATTAATTCGAGGATGAGAGACAATTTGATAAAATTTAGATTTTGAGATAAGTTCTGTTCAACGAACTTTTGGTACGGGCATTCTTTATCATTTATAAAAAAGTAGTCAACAGGTAAGTTTGCAATGTTATAATTAAGTTTCGTCTAGCAGTACGAAAAGTCACCTTACTTTTCACAGAAATCAGAAACCTTTTCTAAGAGCCGTATTTCTATTTTTTTAAAGGTATGTTTACTCAAAGCTTATAAAACAGATTTATTCGAAATGCGGGAGTCTTTATCAAATTATGTTATAACAGTTTTGTTTTTCATCTTCCCATATATTTTGATTCAAAACAAAAGTTTAAATAATCAAAGTGTTAGAATAAATTGTTCAAGTTTCGCAAAATTCAAAAAAAAACAATAAAATAAAAAATAAAGTTAAGGAAAACAGTGTTCAAAATAAATTACTTTCTTCCATTTAGAAAATTAAACTGCCAAAAAAAAAAAAAAATTTATAATTTAAAAGGTATATAAAAAAATCAAATTTAATAAAGTTTTATTAGTTGAACAATTGTACTTTTTCATTTTTATTTCAAAAGTTTATATTGTGTTTTTTTTTTTTTAAAGAAAACTTTATAACTTTAAGTTAAAAAAATATTGCATTGTCATATCAAATTTATGAGACGCTGGTATAGAGGAAAATTAAACGGAATTCGAATAGTTTCACGTTGTATTCGTGGAAAAAGTTTAAAAAGGAAAATCTGTTAATTCAATTTACTTTTAGAGCTAGTGAGGATTTGGCCAGTATATAAATACTGCGTAATTATATAGACAATATCTTGTGATATCTAGTAATATGAGTGATATCTGAAGACGTGATTACATTTTTTATGAATTGCAATATGGAGACCTTAATACTTCTTGTAAACCTGACCATTGGTGCAGTAGTTATGGCACCGGCTCTTTAACCGAAGGGTCTCGGGTTCAAAACCCGGTCAGGTCACTATAAAAATTATATTCAATATTATATAACTTAATATGCAATACTAATAAATATTATACAAGTAATTTTCAAATATTCATAATATTCGATACTAAAAACTAAGAAAAATAAACAGTAAATATCAATAAACTGAAATATTTAATATAAATAAAAACTAGCTAACTCTCTATGACTATAGAAACTAGGGCATAATAGATATCATGCACTAGCCCTATACTTCTCCTAGGAGTAAAGAAGGAAAAAAAAATACTTCTTAGAAGTAAACAATTGACCCTTTATTTTGAAATTATAAATTTTTTAACAAAACTACTACATTTTAAGGTTCCAATATTTTTAAAATTAAACAAATTTACAAAATAAAATGACGTTGTCACAATAGAAATCTTATATACATAATTTTTAAATTTCACCGTGAAATTTTTATTCATTTTATAAATAGTGTATATGTTTACGAAATTTGATGTTTTTGGTATTGACATGTGTGAATGGTTTTGATGAGATTTGGATTCTGGGTCAATTTATAGTTATATAAATGTCCGAATATCGGTTTATCCTAATGATACTTCAAATTCAGTTATGACACACAAATTTTCATCAAATAATTAAAAATTATTATTGTACAAACTCAATAGTATTCGATCGAAGCATTGATTCGTGTAACTATCGTACAACTCTAAAAAAAAATACTTACTTGTAACTCGGAAACTATAAGCTTTTTTATAAAATAAATTTTGGATATCGGAAACTACAGAATTAAAATTTTGCATTGTTACTAAAAAAAAAAGTTAACCGAGGCACTATGAAATTTTGTGTCAGATATCACTATAACTCCTGTAAAACCTTTTCATACGAGTATCACAAAATTCACATGGTCCACTTTATCTGTTATTGTCATAAATTATATCACAATCCCAACAATCACACCATATTATTTTAAAAACAAATATAATTAATAATTAAAATTATATAACATTTTTTTTTTATGGAAAAAAATTATTAATTTTCCTTTATTGTTAACTTTTTTATTTATTTTTATGGCATTTTACTGGCGTCAGTATTAGCAATAGCATTAAAATAATTGTAAATGCACACCTTTTTTTATTTTATACATTCGCGACGATACATATGCATTGTATCTATGTATAAGTTATTTATAAAAAAAAAATTTGTTAAAAAAATAAAAGCATCAAATATAAATTTTATTAAATTATAATTTAATTAAAGTTGCAATATGTTGTGTTTCTATAGCAAACGCTTTACAATATTCAAGTATTGTAATTCTTTTTGCAATTCCGCTTGGGATAATATGGCACACATTAGTTAAAGTCGGTGAAAATTTACTTGTATTGAGATTTTTGGAGTAATGAGCAATTTCTTTAAACATAAATGAACTAGTAAATTATATGTGGGCAATATGTAGAGTCTCGGTTACTTCCTTTTTTTTCATAAATTTTTAAAGTATATGCGGGGGTTCTAAATGGTAAATTATTGTAATTTTATTAAAAACACTTTTAGTATTTTTTTAAATATTTTATCTAATTCCAATAATTAATTGAACTTATTATTTACAAATTTATATTAGACGTTAAAATTAATTATTATAAAATCAATATATTAGGATAACTATACATAGTAGCACTTTGCTACTTCATTTTTGCCATAATAAAGAGAAAGAGGAAAAGGGAGCATATTGCTTTTATAACTAGATAGGTAGCGGTATTCGTAAGGGTGCTGCCGGAACATGCGATATTAATTTATTTATAATAATCACTGCTGCAAATAATGTAATGCAATTTTGGAAAAATTTATTTTCATAAATTTTACACATACATGGTACATACTTCGAATTTTCTCTCTATAAAACCGGAATCAAAAAGACATCAATTTGGTTGAATAAATATTTTGATTTTGTAAATAATTTTTCAATACATTAAAACAATATGTTTGAAGCGTCATGTCTATTTAAAATTTTTGAAACTAAATTTTATGCTTACACTAGAAATGAATGGTTGTTTCGGATATAGTTGCGGATATTGGAA